AATGTCTGTTTTGGAGTTCATCATACCTTTAGTGTGATTTTATGCAGTATGCTTGCTGTATGCATTTACCTGTGTTCTCCAGCAGAGTTTTGGGTGTATTCGGTCTGTTGATGATCTCCACAAGGTTATTGAGAACCAAGGCCACAAACGGCTGCATCTCCGTACCTGGAAAAACACCAGACATACAAATTAAATATCAAGTAGCTGTCCAAATTTACACAGGACAGATAATAGATTTGCAAATAACTGCGCCATAATGAATATGAAATTATCATTCATATTTGAGAGTGCATAAACACTCACCCATTTGTATGGCGATCTCTCCGATGGCCCATGTGGCATTGTTGCACACAGATATGAACTCCGGGTTGAGATTGAGGCCCAGGACAGGCAAGAACTCAGCTAGAGAGTGTAAACGGACACCAATGACAAACTGACCAGCACAACACACACACAGAAGCAACAGCTAGCATGAGAAAGCAGCTCTTCATGTGTCAGGCTTCACTCAGTAAGAGTCAAAGAGCACAGCTCACCGATGCAGGGCTTGACGTGAAGGAAGCACGCCTTAGTCAGGTCTCCCAGCAGAGCGAACGAACTCTGACGCACTTCTGGCATGGTGTCCTTTAATGAGATTTGTAATCCATCACAATTACATTTTCTGCATCAAATTCATGTTTCATTTTTCCACTGTTATTTTGCAGAAGATTAAATCAGACGCACTTAAGACAACACAAGCAAATGAAAAAAGAATTACTGAAAATGACGACTATTTTACTACAGATAATCAGGTATGGTTTTATGGTCAATTCAGATTATGTTTAAGTGTCCAATACGCTCAGCTAATACATGTACAAAATGAATAACAATGATTCTATTACTAATAAGATATATCAAATGTAATATATTTAATAATAAATTATTTAAATCTTTAAACAATAATAGATACATGTTTTTTAAATTTTATATTACCTTTATAATAAAATGAAACAAGATTTATTATATACACATCATACTAAAATAAGTTTTATATAAGCTTATTTTTGTATTTCTTATTTAATAAAAATTTAAATATGATATATATATCACACACAGATGGATACATTCACATACATATATACACGCAGCGAGAGGAAATTTGAATATTAAATAAAATATTAAATATTTACATATATTAAATACTAAACTTATTTTAGTATTTCTAATATAATGTTTAAATATTTTATATATCCATACATGTATATACACACTTATTAAATGTATTATTCAATAACAATAATCATCATTATTATAATTATGCTTATTATTATCATCATCATCATCATCCAGTTAACAACAGGTATTAATTGAAATATTTTAATGTTTAAATATTTTATATATCCATACATGTATATACACACTTATTAAATGTATTATTCAATAACAATAATCATCATTATTATAATTATGCTTATTATTATTATCATCATCATCATCATCCAGTTAACAACAGGTATTAATTGAAATATTTATCACTATAAAATATATATTATATTCAAATATGTGTAATATAAAATATATTGATTTGACCATACCTGCATGCACTGGAAGATCAGGGTCATGACGTTGCTGCGGGTGACCAGCTGTTCTACATGAGCTCCGAGTCCCTCCGCCAGACCGCTGAGCAGATCAAGGGCCACAATCATGAAGTCTTTATCAGGGGCCTCGTACTGGTCAGGGTGCTGGTTATACATCTGCAACAAAAACAGAAAGAAAACATCAAGACCGAGGGAATGAACCAAAACGACAACACGCTATGGCTGTTTAGGGCCAAAATTTATATCACGATATATTTCTTCATTTCGTCGATACGATATAATTCCGATATCGATATGAACACTATTAAAAAAGCCTCATAAAAACGGCCAAAACAGATGTCTGTACCTACAAACTTGATGAAAAATTCATTTGCCAACTCTATGAAACCTACTATAAAACTATATAATATTTTAGGAAAAAAATGCCGCAAATAAACAAATGTTCACCTTTTATTAGTATTTAGCCTTCATACAAACAAGAA